GTGTGCTGATAACGATTGGAGATCAGGACATCGACTTGTCGCCAGCGTTCCAGATATTCCTCATCACTAGAGATGCATCTGTGAGTCATTGGACAGCGGATTTCGTTGATGTTTTTCCAAGTAAATGATCATTATGATCGCGCTTCTATACTTCACACCAGTGGATTGAACTGGCATTCATTTTTGCCCTAGACGACGGATATAGTGGTGTATTTAGCACAGCTAATAAATATAAGACTTTTAGGTTGAGTTCACTCCGGATGTATGCTCTCGAGTGACATTTGTCAACTTCACAGTAACGTCTTCTAGTCTTGCCAGCCAGTGTTTGAACCAAGTGTTGCGAAGCGAACGACCGGACGTGGACAAGAAGCGCAGTGATCTGTTGAAACTGCAGGTTTACTTTCGATTCGAACCTGATGTAAATTCTATGAAGGAATCCACACCATACGCATGCGTTCCAGGGTGAATTTGCTGTGCGTCTTCGTCAGCTTGAGAAAGCGCTCCTGGCAGCGTTGAATGAGAGCAAGGGTAAGATACTGGACGACAACTCTGTCATCGGCACTCTCGAAAAGTTGAAGAACGAAGCATCAGAAGTTGCGAAGAAGGCAGCCGAGACCGACAAAGTCATGGCTGAAGTGAGTGAAAGCTTGTTGTTAGGAATGCACTGCAACGATATTACATGTTGTCTTCTCTAGGTGGAAGCAGTTTCGGCCCAGTATCAACGCTTGGCCCAAGCCTGCGCTCAGATCTACCATACGTTGCAGCAGTTGAACGAGGTTTGTTCAAGGGACTGCCACATTGTTTCAGAGTTTCTGGCTCACTGCTCTGGGGCAGCTTTGAGAAGCTCTATTAGGAAACGTGGTATAAGATGTTGTTCAGGTACACTTCCTGTACCACTACTCGCTGGACTTCCTTCTGGACATCTTCACCTGTGTGTTGAAGTCACCTGAATTGGTTCAAACTCAGGATCACATGCAGCGCCTAAACATCATAACAGCAAATTTGTTCCAGGTACGTGTCTTCCATGATACGTCGCCTTACCTATAATAAAAAGAGATATTTTGAAACCACTATCATTTGTTCGATTTTTCTAGTCCTTATTCATTGTGAAAACTGCAGCTCCAGTTAGCTATATTTTTTATTTTCTAACAAAAAAAAAGATTATTTAAGTTTTTTTTTTCAAAGATGGGAGTCGCTGTTAAAGATAGTTCGAAACTTCTGTTTGCTCGCTTTTTGCAAGGCGTTAATAAATCTTTTATACTTAGGGTTGAAAGGTAATAGCCTTGAGGGGTTGTGGCTGGACCACAGTTGACCCTTCATGGAACTCTATTATTCTTTGCTGAACCTGCCTGGTTAAAGTTCCGTTGTGCCGGTGTGTGTTTCTATTCTGAGAACAGACCGCAACCTAGTTTTGGTCCTGTGGTAGCTAGTCCTGTAGATTTTTTCGGTTGGTGGTGAGGGCAATAACCAAAACTGCCAGAAGATAGTGACAGTGGTGTAATGAGATCATTTGTCCCCAATTTTACAATATGTAGCCGTAATTTCCTGGAACGCTCGCGTGAACGTAGTTCTCCATTTGCTTACATGGGATGCTTGACTGAATATTTTGAATTATTTTCATGTTCGTTAGACAGCTGTCAATTTTCTTGCTCATATTGTCAGTTTCGTCAGTTCTGTTTATCAATTCTATTGAATTTGTTTATTTATTGTGGCTTATACAACTTTTGCAGACAGTTTACCGCCGTGTGTCTCGCGGTATGATGCATGCAGACAAGGTGTTATTGGCCCTGTTACTCATGCGAATTTCTCTACGCTCCGTGGGTGGCGAACCATCGTACGACGCGCAATGGGATCTCCTGCTTGGACGCAGTGAATTGTTCGCATCGAAGACGGCTCATCAATCACCACCTACTGCTCTTCCGTACCTTACTTCTCAGCACATGGGAGCGTTGAATAAGGCACAGAAGCTGCCTGGCTTCGAAAATGTGAGTGCTAAATGATTTCAGCAGCATTCAGCGACGATCTCAACGAAAGTGTCGTGTTCATGATAATTATAGATCATTGATATCATGTGCTCGCAGTCGGATCAGGTCAAGCAGTGGATGGCAATGGATAATCCGGAAGCAGCAGTGCCAGTGCTGTGGGAGGATCCAGAGCAGAAATTGAGTAAGTCGCTAGATTTCTTCTCGATCTTTTTTGTAATGTTCATGAAATGTGAAAATCTTCAGCTAGCATTGGTGTGGCGATGAACCAATTGATCGTGGTGCATTGTCTGAGATCTGATCGTCTGATGGCTAGCGCTCATCGTCTAGTAACAGCAGCTTTCGGTGAAGGTTTCATGCAACAAGATAAGGTCATCGATCTGCATGATATCATTGATAACGAGGTGAGCTCTTGGAACCGAACTTTCCTTTTGAGTGGGGATTTGATATGAAGCAAATCCACAAATCATATATTTTTGTTAATATTTTTATCCTAATTTTAAGGTGTCTTCATCTGATCCTGTACTATTGTGCTCTGCAACGGGTTATGATGCTTCGGGTAAGATTGAAGATCTCGGAGTCCAAACGGGTCGACCTGTAACCTCGATTGCAATCGGTTCGTCAGAAGGATTCAGCCAAGCTGATGCGGTAAGTTTTCTCCGTCATCTTCCCCTTTCAATAGATATTTATAATGGTCTGGAGCTGGTGTTCATTTCATATGTATTTTTCTACGGTTTTGCGTAATTTCAACCGTGGCTGTTCAGGCACTCACAGCCGCGTCCAAGTCCGGACGTTGGGTATGCTCAAGAACGTTCATCTGGCACCACAGTGGCTTGGTAACATGGAGAAACGTCTGCATACGCTCAAGCCGCATGCGAACTTCCGCCTGTTCCTCACCGCTGAGATTCATCCCAAACTGCCTACATCAATTCTCAGAGCTTCTCGTCTGGTTGTGTTCGAGCCAGCCACTGGACTCAAGGCAAATCTTCTTCGGTCACTGGCAACTCTACCAGCCACTCGCCTTGCCAAAGCTCCAGCTGAGCGCAGTCGTCTGTACTTGCTCATCTGTTGGCTCCATGCTCTGGTGCAGGAACGATTGAGGTAAAACTGATTTTTAGTGCGTTTCTTTTGGTCACGGTGCGGTCACGCACATTTTTATATCGATCTCTTGGTGCATGCTGTCCCGAGGCCGTACGCAGCAGCTCGGTCGCTTACAAGAATTTCTTTCCGGCCGGGAACGAATCCCGAAGTTGGGAATTTGTTTCTGGCCGTTGAGGAATTCCCGTGAACGGCCGGGCTATTGCGTACGGCCCCTAGCTCGAATAGTACGCGCCTGGATGAAGGCCAAGTGGAGGAAATTGGTGCCGCTAATTCGATTGCCACGAACAGCGGACGATTTGCTCTACACTTACGCGTATCACCGTTCCATGACCTAATCGATGCCATCTACCCAAACAGGAGTCATCGAAAAGTCGGATTCGAGTTAATTGCTTTCAGATACACCCCTCTTGGATGGGCCAATGCGTACGAGTTCTCTGACGCAGATTTGCGGGTTGCGTGTGATACGCTTGATGCAGCTGTTGATGTTGTAGCGCAAGGTCGTGCCAATGTAGCACCTGAAAAGCTCCCATGGACCACTTTAAGGACCCTGCTCAGTCAGTGCATTTACGGAGGAAAAATTGACAATAATTTCGATCAGGTATTCAGAATGCTCTTTGAGGCTTTCAACGTATTCATTGATAATGTTGACGCCTCTGTTAGGTGTTGCTCGACTGCATCCTGGAAAGGCTGTTCACTGCGAAGAGCTTCGAGCCAGAACATGTACTTGTCAGCAAATTCGATGGTGACACTCCACTCACCACTCCGGATGCCACGCAACGTGACCAACTTCTAGCCTGGGTTGAAGGAATTAAGAGTCAGCAGGTGGGCAGTGCTATTATCTCAGAATAATTCTCTTTTCGCAGCGTAATTTGTCTGTTGCTTTCTCACGTTGATTTTTAGCTCCCTGCCTGGCTAGGTCTGCCAAATAATGCTGAAAAAGTACTGCTCACATTGAGAGGTATAGTTGATCTGTTTGATTCTTCATTTGACGCAGCCGCTTGAGTGGTTCTGATTGTTAAGGCGAAACAATGCTGAGAAACCTTCTGAAAGTGTCTGACGATGAGCTGGCGTTCGCTGGTGACGGCGAGAAAGAAGCGAAGCCACAGTGGATGGCGCAATTGGGAGAGTTAGCTCAGCAATGGTTGAAACTCTTGCCCAAGGTAATGTTTCGTTCATCGGTATCGTAGGATAATGTTATATGTCCACCATGTGGATGATGAAGAGTTGGAATGGGCTTGCTGATAAAGAAAGTCATTCTAAACATTTGCAGGACATGGTGAGAATGAAACGTACCGTTGAGAACATCAAAGATCCGCTGTTCCGTTTCTTCGAACGTGAAATCAATTTGGGAGCACAATTGCTGCGCGATATCCGCCACGATCTTGATGAAATTCTCTCCGTGTGTCGCGCCGAGCGTAAGCAGAGCAACGAGACGCGAGCGCTTGCATCAGCGTTGCAGAAAGGAGTGGTAAGCTCTAGAGTTTTTTCACTTGGTGTGGTACTAACACTTCTCGGTTATCAAGTCATACTTACCAGGAAGGTCTTTCAGGGCGTGACGAAGCTTTTTGAAAACGGTCTTTTGCATGATATAGGGGCAGATGCGGGAACCACAGAACCATGTTTAATTTTTCCTGAACGGCCCTCTGAATACCAGAAAAGGGGGTCCCTAGTTCGATTCCTCTTGGTGACAAATTTTTGCATTTCGAGTTGACGTTCCAAAATTCGCGCAAAATGGAGTTCTGATTGTTCTGGTTGGTTCTAACTCCATTTTGCGCGACGAGGAATCGAACTAGGGACCTCCTTTTCTGGTATTCAGAGGGCCGTTCAGGAAAAATTGAACATGGTTCTGTGGTTCCCGCATCTGCCCCTATATCATGCAAAAGACCGTTTTCAAAAAGCTTGTCACGCCCTGAAAGACCTTCCTGGTTAGTTGTTATTTTATTTACTTACGACTACTGTTACAGCACATATCAAATAATATAGGTCCATGTAAATTGTTGTAGGTACCAACAAACTGGCAACGTTACACTGTACCGAGAGATGTAACCGTTATGGACTGGGTTGTTGATTTCAACGAACGTGTCAAGCAACTCATACGAATCGGAGCTAGTGATAATCTGAAGGTGAGAGAATGTATTTGCTTTGGAAATGACGTCAGAAGCCGTGTGCGTAGTTGCTCGGTTCCAGTAAAGGTGGGCGAATCCTTAGGAAATAGGCTTGACTAAGCATCACGTCTGAAAAACAGTAGATGGATGCAGTAGTTGCCATATACTTCACACATCACTTTTTACGTTATCCGTTCATCAGATAGTACTAGTACTGGTTCGGGTCCCAGATGCAAGCTTTCCCATCAAATGTGGCTAGAAGTGCTCTCTCAAGAATGAGCTCCGTATATACGGGACACCAAGCGTGCTAACCCACCCTGTTTTAGTCTGAAGCCCACTGACAAAATTGTTTGTAGGTTAATGATTATTGAAAAAAAAACAAAGATTCTCGTACAACGGGAGGTCCGCTATGTGTTAATTTTTTCCTTTCGAACCTGGTAGGCCTACTCTTCACAGGTTTTTCGAGCCGTGGCTGATTCCAGAAAGCGTTTCTGTAAAGTTTCTGAAAGCAAACTTATGAGAAAGTAGGGCCTGTGAAAGTATGAACTCAATGATCTTCCTGCTTTGAAGGAAGATAGGTCCCTGTGGGGCAGGTTCTACGATGAACACAGTGCTTCAAACAAGATGAAAGGGTCTTGATTCACTTTATTCCTCTCTATTTCTGCTCATTTTCCTTCTTTTTTTTTGAAAAGTGAAGATTTTGCAGCGCGAAGAAGTGTGGCTGGGAGGAACGTTCTCTCCGGAAGCCTATGTGACCGCCACTAGGCAACAAGTTGCTCAAGCGAATACCTGGTCACTTGAGCAGCTTCATTTACATGTGATGATTGGAAGAACAGACCGGTTGGATGTTGTCCGTTTGACTGGTGAGTTTACAGGAAGGTTCCAACAAACGGATCCCCACATTTTTTTTTCGAAAATCAATGTTTTGGTTCCACCGTGCTATGTTTCCGTTTAAATTTTTTTTGAATCTCATAATCGATCACCTGTTTTGTTCTCCAGGTATGGAGCTTCGTGGAGCGGAAAGCACTGGTGGGAACGCGCTACGTCTGTCGGACGAGGTGAAGACGGCATGCGATTGTGTCGAGTTCTCGTGGAAACAGGTATTTTGTTTCACTCCTCTCTACTAGTCTTTCGTTAGAGAAGCATCAAATTCTTCTTGTTTATTTTCGCAAGTTATCAGTACGTCATACAGACACGCCGTCAAATGTACCACGAACAAAAAAGTCGAAAATGATTAAACTCAGCAACAAGATAAAAAAAAAGTAGCTAAGGGTAACTGAACTATCACCTATTCTTTTAGTGGGAGAAAGCAAGGTAGGTTATGCGCAATTCGCGACATGGGAATGTGAGGTCATACAAGTGTGCAAGACGGTGTGTTGGCTGTAGGCTGACACTGGGAGGCAACCTGGGAGGATTGATAAGTGTACCCTCTATCGGAGGACGAGAAGAGCGTCGAGTGCAGACCCACACCACAAATTTACATGTCAAGAAAAACTATTTTTCTTCTCGGACGTCGTCTTGGTCGGTGGTGTGTCTGCACTCGGCTTCTTCTTGTTCCTACGAATGAAGGGTAATTATGAGGTCATAGTATCATGTTTTACTTGGTGCAGTAGTGGGTGTCCAATCAGGAGGAGTATGCATTGAAGGGGGATTGCATTGTGTTTTTGTATCTCAGTGCTAAAAGGGACCGCGACGCTCAGCGGCTGCACTTGCGGAACGCTTGTTAGCTTTTTTTCGTAAAAAATACTAAATAATTGGTGGTTATCTGGTTTTAGGGATGGTTAGTGAATGATTTTTTATTGCGGAATGTTCACGCGTTTCTAATATATTTCTGATTTGGCATATTTCTGGATTATGTCTTCCTGAATTCAGTGAGCTGCAACGGTGTGGGTCGAGCTACCACTGTCTTACGGTGATCGTCGTCAGTTAGTCACATCGTTAGCGTTTGCCGTCCGTCTCGCCCGCAACAGCATTCTACGAGCGAGGAGTCGCCCTCGTTGCCAACGCAGGCCTTAGTTAAGCTATGAATTGTAATTGTAATTAGTCGTATCGATCAATTTCTTCATAACAGAATAATGTAAGCTTTTCGAGATGTAAGTTCTGTTTGAATTCATTCAAACTCTTGTTAATATATCTCGATGCTTAAGCTTTTCGGTAAATCTTGTTTCACCAAACACGCACGCCTGCCCAACCACTTTCTAATTTTTATTAGACATAATTTATTTATGACTTCCCTTTACGGATTTGTGACTCACGGTTTTTATATGAGGAATTTCCTCGCGACTTGTAATAAATCGAGCTTCTGTAATTAATAGTGTGAGCTTTTAAAAAAGTTCTGTTAAATTCAGAACTATTGTTCCTTCATGCTGGGGGTGGACGATGCTTAGAGTAAGTCCGTAATCATTGATTCATTTATTCAGCATTATTTGTTTTTGGGATATCTTTATGCTTCGCGTCGAATTCTTGTTGGACGGCGGCGTCATCGATTTCGCTTTTGGAGTCGTAGTAAGTATTTGATAGTAATTTAGATGCATAACGATTAGAGAGAAAGAGAGGCTTTGTGAAGTTCAGACGACGCATTTCTTACGGCAAGGATATAGCACAGGAGACAGTATTACACACTTGCGGCGCTATCGACGAGCGCCGCAAGTCGACCGAGTGGCTGCCACTAATCAGAAGACATCGCGTTAGGAGACCAGCGAGCTAGAGAGACGATCAATAGCCAGAATCGAAGAGGCAAGAGGGGCTGGGGCAATGTTCTGAAGTTACTGAGCGTTTTCTTGGGTTTTTTCTTCCATTCACGGACGGAGTTAACCACTACTTCCTTGATGATAAACTGGCCGCACATTGTCATCATCAACCCTTCCAACAGACATCGCTTAGACTCATGTCGGCTCCCGTGCTACAAGTTTTTTAGGCGAAGAAGCATTGGTTTTCGTGAGTTTTTCTAGTAAAGGAAGCATATTGAATATTGTAGGAAATATTTAAATCAAATCAAGGTCTTGCGTATCTATAGCTCAAGATCTGCAGATGTGAGGTGAGGCGGACGCTTTGCAATATCGCTATGTTTCCCACGCTAGCGACAAACCCAAAGCGCGTGTTGCCACTGTTTCAAGCCCTCAATTTTAAACTCTTTTGACGACCGCCGTTGTGAGTGCGTAACTTCATTTCTTTTCAATTTGAATTCTTCATTTAGTCATAAATTCTCCAACAATTTCATTATTAGTAATGAGCACAGTATTTCGCGGATCCATTAGTGTATATGGGCAGTTTTGAGGCATGAAAAAATGGCAAATAAACAACGAAAAACAAGTCGCCTCTGAGTGGAAGTGTGGCCCACCGCGGGCCACACGGTCCGGTCATAATGGGCGTAAAATAGTTGGTCAAAGATGAGTTAGCAGAATGTCTAAATCACGGATGGATCACCAAATTGATGGGTCTGACGATGTTCCTGCCAGAGGTGTTTCAGTGTTTTGTTGATGAGGCTTTGTATCCAACTGTTTCTTTGTTTTTTCTGAGCATCTGACGTGGGGAACGGAAATGGAGAGCAGCCGCACGGCGGAGAGAATGGGAAGAGAGCGTAGACGGGCGTCGGACCGACGGAGATCACAGCGGCGTACTGTGGTGATATGGGCTACTGTGGTACGTTGCTTTTCACTTTAACGAAATTGCTTCCGTGACGCGCGCGACCTAGTCGCTAGCGTAGTCTGCAATTCTGGCTTTTCGTTGTGAAACTCGCTGAATCGATATGTCAGTACCCCGACACAGCTGGATTTTCAGCCATTTCGGAAGATGTGGATTTGCAGGAGATTGGAGTACCTAATTATTGGGTAGAATAATTTATTGCAATGATTAGATTATTTTCAATAAACAGAGTGTAAAAGTATTTATGTTAAACGGTTAGGGAATTAGATGTATGTGTGACATGATACAGATACCGTACTACGATTATCGATGAGCAGATGATGACATAGTCACAGGCGCGTGGTGACAGGCTGGTGCTTTTCGACTGTGTGCGGGAAGGAAGATCTTTTCCTTTATTTGTCAGTCGATTAAATTGCCCGGTATGGAGACCTGGAAACAAAGTTGAGGTCCGTTAATGAGTTCACCGTTCACGTTGGTATTACAGGACGCGGAGAATGAATGCTCCTATGTGAAGTCGTGACTGAGTCAGTCAAAGGTTCTGTGCTTTCTCAAAGTGCCTTGATTGGACTGACGCGCTTCGAATCACCCCAACACCGTTATCGAAGCTTGAGAATTACGATCCATTGTGACGGTAGAAAAGAAATAATGCGCCACTAGGCTGTGTTCACATCACGCTTGTCGACGCTTAACGTCATATCGCAGTGAAAATGAGTATATTGACGCAAGATAGTAGGGGGGCCACGAACGCCTGCGATATAATGGGAGTTGGACAGAGAGGCCCGTCTGTTGTGCAGACAGGGTAGGAGTCAGCGGACAAGTCGCCCCGCGTGCTGTACCTATTTTGGTTGAAGTTACTATTGCATGTACGTTCCTACACGAACACACCGCCGTTTGCGACTGTTGTCGCTGACTCGCCTTTCTTGCGCGTGAGCGCGGCCTCCCCTGCCGGTACCGTTTATATCTATCTGCACTTATCATGAAGTGGAAGGTGGCCAGGTGCTTGGTAACTCTAATTTACATGTTAGTGGGATAGTATAAGTTTTTTTGACGGAAGGAGTGGTTAAGTGGCAAGCTGTGAGAATGGTTACGCAGCCAAGCGATCGCAAGTTCCATGCGGATTAAATCGTCGGAGGTCAACCATGCCTTCCATAATACCTCATGGATTCGCGAATTGGTACCGCTACCTTTTTTGGAAGGATTAGATACTGGTTTGTGTTCGGAGGATCGTCATCACACTCAGGTGCATGAGACCCGGTTCTTGGCTATAGAATATGTGCCACCCCGTAATCAAAACAGACAAAAAAAAAAAACTGATCAAGCGCAAAGATGCTTTATCTTGAAAGAACAAGCGAACGACGCTTGGTTCGGGAGTACCCCTCAGGAGGCCAGCATCGGCAGCGGCAAGAAAGGCAGAAAGTCCGGTGGAGCGATGCAGCGACTAAGTAGTGTGCGCTGTAATAGGATGGCGCAGTTGGGGCATTATTGACTTGACGAAATCATATAGTTTATACCCGCGCGCGGACTCGTCCGCTGACTTTGCTTCTTGGCGCGAAGAAGGCATCTGGGGAGGTAGCCCGTTGGTTATGGGTAGGAATTAAAAGTACAAACCCGCTAAAATGGATGGAAGGATGATATTTGAAAGATTTCGTCAACATTTCCGAACTTAGGATAGAGAATGCTTGGATGAGTGTAACTCCATAGAAGATACGATATGATTAGCTAATGCTGACTGGTATGAAGTGCACCCTAGAATGAAAATTTGAGGGCACTGATAACGGTGTCATACAAAGTACGTACCGTGGCCACCTTTTCACTGCTAGTGGGTGCGACGTAAGGCTCAGTAAGTGGAAACGTAATATTTTCGGGCGAATATTAGGCAGAGAGATTAGCCGTTAAGGCCAACAATATAGCCTCAGAAAACACGTGGAATGTCGAAATATGGGTGGCCTTCCTATCGAACTCACTAAAGAGTCTTTCCTAGTTTCAGTTCGGCTGAGTTTATCGCGGACGCGCATAGCCACAAACGATTCAGTAGAATAAGAACCACGTAGCATTACACATTGCATGAATATAAAAATTATTTATGAAATTCTTATAAATTCGAGTAGAGTATTTGCTATCGATAAACCAATTCAGGAAATACCTGTTCTGGAATTTTGCCGCTGATTGACCGTGGTAATGGGCTCCTGGTCTTTCGACGGTGATAGAATTAGTGGATAATCGGCTTTCCACCTAAATGGTAAGATGATCACCCCAGCTTTTTCTAATGTTACTAATCACACAATCTTAAAAGAACGTTGCTACATAATTAGTGCTGTAAAAGTAGGCGAGACAGGAATGACTGCCAGTATAAAATGAGAGACAAGACATAAAATAATGATTCAAACGAACTTGATACACTTAGGTTCAACGTCCAAATGCTTCTTAAACCAGCTATCAGATCTCAAATCATGATAACACATCGCAAGAGGTAACAGAACTGAGACCAGGTGTAACAATAAAAAATCCAGCTGAAACTCACCTGAAATGATGAACCCAACCTGTTCAATTGTGACAATAAGGAAAGAGAAGAAAAGACAAGACGAAACACGAGACAGCAACGTCAGATAGAATGTAGAGTATCTTTATGAGGAATTCACGGCGAAAACCAGTTAATCAAGGCTGCAGAATCCCCAATATCAAGATAGAATGACATTTGAGATCATCTGGCACGGGTTGTCGATATTCTGAAAACACTGTCGTTAACGACATCGGCCGGGACCATGTCCGCGTAAAATCATGACAATTGCACCAGGAAGATTCTCGATGGAGGTTACGATTCTGAAATAAGGATTGAACAAAGCAAGGGCTTGTTGCCGAGAAACCAGAACTGAACATCAATAATTGCGGCTATTTATTTTCGTTCTATGTGAGTTGACTTTTGTCGCTCTCGGAGCATCTGGGAATGAACACAAAGTTATTCTAGGCTGCAGGGATTATTTTGAGAAATCTAGTATGAAAGTCACAGTGCATGGAATGGTGAATGAAAGGACCGGATAAGCAGTGATTCGATGCAAGTCATTGAGACATTTGTCATAGTTGACAAGTGCCCAGAAGAGGCGCGGGCCACCAACACTCCTTGACGCCGAGGGGGTATGTCAGGGTAAATGTCGTATTTGAACTAGTTCGAACGGTGAGTAGGCATTTGACAATGTCCTAGAGAGAGGCGGGAGAGGAGGTCCGGCATGGTC